ACTGGGCCAAGCTAGAGCTGCTGTCCTTTGTTTGAGGGAACTTATCTGGTTTTCAGGATCACCTGCAGCTTAATAAGGAGGGGCTTTCCACGGGAACCAAAGGTTACAGGGCAGGGGGAGGGTGGGAAATCCAGACAGAGTTGTGTGTGAATTCAGGTCTGCCACGTCATCCTTCTGCAGCCCTATGCACGAAAGGTGACATCTCTGAGCCTGCTTCTTTATCTGAACATGAAGACAATGCTGCAGCACTGCTGTGAGGGTTTGATGAAATCAAGGATGCAAATTGACTGCTAAAGTCTCTGATGCCCGACCGACAGTCATTTCCTGAGAGCCGACTGCGGGCCTGGCTCTGTCCAGTGGAGAACAAGGGCCATGGAGGGGGACACTGAACATCCCTCGGTGAAAAAGAGAGCTCCCACCTCCTGCTGAATGCACTAGAACTGGAACAGGGCCAGGGGCGAGCGCAGGGTGCCTGCTTTACATCAGGGGGTCAGCACAGCTTCTCTGAGGAGGGGACTGCTCTGTCAACTTCTGAAAAACGAGAAGGAGCGAGCCTTCCAGTTTCCACGCAAAGATGATAACAGTTATTGTTATACCATCTAAAGAAAGTGCGAATTTCAAAGAAAAAAATAACCTGATACTAGTGCCCAAGGAAGTGCTGGGAAATTTTCTGAAGCAAAGGAAGGAGCATTTATTAAACACCTACCATGTGCCAGGCTCTCTGCTAGAGGCTTTATATATATTATCTCTTTTACATCCCAACAAGATGAGCAGAGGTAGCAATTTTTAAAAGGGGTCATTGGAGTGTGAAAGGGGGAAGGTTAAGCCAATGGGAAAATGGAAGTAATAGCTTTGCAACAGTTGAATCAAATCTGTTACCCAACTTCCTCCCCACCACATGCACACACACACACACAGATCACCCTTGGCGAGGCTGAGCTGAGAGTGGTAATAGAGGCACCTGCAGCTGCCCTTTGAAGCTCTGACTTCCCTGGAAGGCAGGCAACAGGAGCAGGCTGCTTTATTCCTATTTTACAGACAAGGAAACTGAGGCTCACAAATGGACGCTTGCCCCAGCATACATCTCTAGCTAAGTGCTGCAGCCATAGGCAAACCAAACCCCTCCAGAAACTGCCTGGACTTGGAATGGTCCCGTGCTCAGCTGGGAAAAGGCTAAAGGCAGTCACACTACGATGAACTCAAGCTTACTATGTAGCAGACCTCATGCTCACTACTCTACAGACAGCATCTCACTGAAAACTTGGAGCACTTGTTGAGGTGGGCATCCCAATTCCATACACCAAAAAAGGGTGGGGCCTGAGAGGTTAAAGCAGCTTGCCCAGGTGCTGGAAGTCGGCAGAGTGAAATTGGGACTCTGGTCACCGTCCTCCTGAGAGCCACTTCCCCCGAAGGAGGTGTGAAAGATGACCGTAAGTGGTGCACAGAGAAACAAATTTTCTCTTAATATTTAACATATTTCTTTTGTTTTTTTATTTTGGTAAAATATACATAACATAAAGTTGACTATTTTAACCATTTTGAAGTGTACAGTTCAGTGGCATTACGCACATTCACCTTGTTGTGCAACCATCACCACTATCCAGCTCCAGAACTCTTTTTATCTTGCAAAACTGTAACTCTGCACCCATTAAATAAGAACTCCTTTCCCTCTCTCGCCCCTGGCAACCACCACTCTACTTTCTGTCTCTATGAATTTGACTTCTATAGGAACCTCATATAAGTGGAATCATATAGTACTTCTCCTTTTGTGTCTGGTTTATTTCACTTAGCATAATGTCTTCAAGGTTCATCCATGTTGCAGCATGTGTTAGAATTTCCTTCCTTTTTAAGACTGAATATTATCCCAATGTATGTATATACCACATTTTGTTTATCCTTTCCTCCATCTACGGACACTTGATTTGCTTCTACCTTTTGGTGATTGTGGATAATGCTGCTATAAACATGGGTGTACAAATATCTGTTTGAGTCCCTGCTTTTAATTCTTTTGTGTATGTACCCACAAGTGGAATTGAGGGATCACACAATAATTTTATTTTTAATTTTTTGAGGAAACACCATACTGTTTTTAATAATGGCTGCCCCATTTTACATTCTCACCAGTAATGCACAAGGGTTCCAATTTCTCCATATCCTTGCTAACACTTGTTATTATTACTTTTTTTTTATAGTAATCCTCCTAGTGGGTATGAAGTGATATTTCACTGCAGTTTTGATTTGCATTTCTCTAATGATTAGTGATGTCGAGCATCTCTTCATGTGCTTATTGGCCGTTTGTATATTACTGTATCTTTGGAGAATTGTCTATTCAAGTCCTTTGTCCAGTTTTCAATCGGGTTGTTTTTCTTGTTTTTTCAGGTTGTTGAGTTGTAGGCGTCTTTATGTATTCTGGATATTAACTCCTTATCATATTATGACTTACAAATATTTACTCCATTTAGTGGGTTGCCTCTTCACTGTATTAATAGTGTCCTTTGTTGCACAAATGTTTTTAATTTCAATGTAGTCCCATTCATCGGCTTTTTCTTTTGTTGATTGTGCTTTTGGCATCATATACAAGAATCCAATGTCATAAAGCTTTTCCCCTGTGTTTTTCTAATAGTTAACATACTTATTCTAATATACTAACATAATGAGCACTTGAACTTATCATTTTACAGATATTTGATATTATTTTAAAGTTTTTTTTTAAATTTAGGATATTAAGAATTTAAATAAACATACCAGGTAAATAACAGGAGAGGTTTAGTATATATCACGCAGTTGGTATCCACATGACTGGTGTTTGGTACATAGTGTGCTAAGCTAAACTGCATCCTATTAAATATATCTCCTGCTGTATGCAGTGGTAAAGGAAGAAGTATCCATGACACTTGTTAAAGAACAGTAAGGCAACCTTATTCAGGGAGACCATTGTGACAGGTATAGGGACCACTGCAATGGGGTTTTGCAGTAGGGGAGAGAGATTAGGCTCAACTCTGAAAACAAGCAAAAGCGGGGATTTATAGCCAACGAGGGAGGTCAGTGGATGGAAAACCACTAAGAGGAAACATCAGGGGTAAGAGGGTTCTGGCTAAGCCCACCTCACAGGATTCTTGCTGAAGGAAGCCCAGCATGATCAGACATCACATGAGGGACGGTGGAGGATGAGGAACCCCATCAGATATCAAGGGTGATCAGATATTGAGGGTGGGGGATTTGGGCTAAACTTAGTGGGATTCTTACTAAAATTGGACAATGCAGAGAGTAACACGAAAGCCCAAAAGTCATGGCTGATGACTTTCATAGTTGATGAGAGAGTCAGAGGAGCCTGAGTGGAGTCTGGTGAAGGACTCTGACCGCAGTTCATGGGCTAAGCTTTCCCCTCCATTACTCAAGGGTTGGCTCCAGCATCTGAAAAACCAGCCCTAAGGACAAAGACCAATGATTTTGAAACTGGATGACAAGGCACATCATTTAATCTAAACTTCAAGACAAAAAAATTTGTTAGAGTAGAGGTGATAGTACAGGTGTACACTAGTATCTTATCTTCAATTCTGAAATGCAAGAAGTTCTAAAAATTACAAGTTTTTTCCTAAGTTTGGAGCAAACTCATTTGAACGAATATGAGTAGTTATCGCCTTTATATATCCCACTTAGGGTGACTATTTGTGAATATTCACACACTTTTGTTGCAAAAATATTGTGTTTGATTATAGGGTGTTGTCCCAGCTGCCGCTGGAGGTGTTTTATACAGTATCTTTAAAAAAAAAAAATCCTAAAAAATTCTGAATTCCAAAAACACATCTGGCCCCAAAGATCCCCCCCATCTTTATTGAGGTACAATAGACATATAACATTGTGTAAGTTTAAGGTGTACAACATAATCACTTGATATATGTATATATTGCAAAATGATTACCACAGTAAGGTTAACACATCCATCGCCTCACATAGTTAACTCTTTTTTTGGTGACAACTTTTAAAACTACTCTCTGAGCAACTTTCAAATACATAATACAGTACTGTTAACTATAGTCACCAGGCTGTACATTACATCTAGAACTTATTCATCTTATAAGTGGAAGACCTCAAGGGTTTTGGATATAGGATTGGGAACTGGTAGTGGCGGTATTAGTCCCAGGAGGACTAGTAAGAGTGATATACCATTTATTGAGTACTTCACTCCTGTCAGGCATTATTCTAACTACTTTCTATGTAAATACCTCATTTAATCCTCATTATACCCTATGAGTCATCCTTATCTTTTATACATGAGAAAACTGAGTTCATTAGCTACTTAATTTGCTGAAGATTATGCAGCAAGTAGCCCAACTGAGTAGGGTGTTATGAATTTCACCATAATGGTTAAGAACAGGGCTTTTTAACAAAGGATGCCTTCAACTGCAGGAGAATGGTAAACTCACGACTCATATAACAGAGACAGGACGGGAACCCACAACTACCTGCTCAGCCCTCCAGCCTGCAGGAAAGCGGAGCGCCCCTGGGGCCCGCGGACAACAAGCCACCGCGCACTGGACAAGACCCGGCTGGAGATCACGATGAAGCCCGCCTCCCCGGGACTACAACTCCCAGAGAACCCCATAGGCTCGCCCATACTGATTGGCCCGCTGCGCTATATATCAGCCAACCAGCCACAGGAAGATAGCTGCACACTGGGCTCAGCGCCAATCACAAGAGAGAGGAGGCGGGCGCTCCTCCAGGCTATCCAAGGTGTGTAGTCGAAGCATGGCGGGACCCTAGAAGAGTAGGTTTTTCGGAGCCCCACGGCCGATTCGGTGATCGGAGAAGTGACAGGTCGGCCCTCTGTGCGAAATAATGACCTGGGGCAGACGTCCCCTTATGCCCAGAAGACTCTGGTATCCGCTACTCCTGCCTGCGGCCGTCGCGGCGCCCCGCCCCCCTCTCATTGGCCCCCCGGGACACGTGAGGGAAGGGGGCGTGGACACGGCGGCGTGGGCGGGGCACCGGCCTCGGGTGGGGATGAGAGGCCCGGCGGGCTCGGGCCTGGGGCTGCATGGACACCCAGGCGCCAGGCCGGTTGCGACGGCAGAGGCCGGAGGACCTGCAGGTTCCGGGGGACGCGGTGAGCCCCCGGGGCCTCGGCGTTAGGAACGGGGAAGCGGTGCCGCTAGGCGGTCCCCCAACGGGCCCCTCGCCTCACGGCGGCCTTGTCTGGGAGGAGGCCTGATGGGAGCTGCCCGCGCTCCTTTGCGGGGGCGGGGCCCTGGGTGGGCGGGGCCCGTCCCTCCGGCCGCGCCTGCGCGGAGATGCGGGACTCCGGGGACTGGAGACCCAGGTCCCTCAAACGTGCGCGGGGCCCCATGCAAGGCCTGGGGGACTCGGCGTCTAGGTCAGGTGGTGTCCTTGAGTCACACCTCCACGTGCAGGCGCTGGGCTGGGTGTGGTAGGGGTGCCAGGTGAGCAGACACGCCAATCGGGTGTCGGTTGAGCGCTTTGACGGGAGAGAACAGGGTAAGGGGAGGTGATTGGTGATGGGGGCCCTAATGAAGATCGGGGTGGGTGGGTAATCAGATCTGTGTGAGACTGGAAGGGAAAACAGTATGTAGAGGAGGTAGGAAAGCGCTTAGCCTTGTAGGGAAGTGGAAGAAGTCCTGTGGGATTGGAGCAGGAAGGCAGAGCCTCTGAGCAGCGCTGTCATCTTCCACCTTTGCTTGCGAATTGCCGGTTCTTACTCCATCTCGTTTATTTCATGCTTCTTTGCTAAGAGCAGTGATGAGCAGCCAGCATACCCAGCATCTGAATTTTTTCTGTCTGCTTCTTCTAGACCTACAGGCTCGATAATCACAGGATCTGTCTTCCAAGTTAATGCAGGCATCGTGTTTCTCAAGTGTTTTGCACAGCATAAGGAGTGACTAGCTTTCTACCCTGCAGCATCTGTTTCCTCACCACCCACTGCCTGACCACGGAGACAGTGTCACTTATGTTCTGTCACAGCAGCACCCCACTTCCAGGTACCATATTACTAGGGCATAGGTTAAACTTCTGTAACAAAGAAACTTCAAACAAGGTGGAAGTTTGATTCTCCAACACATAACATTATGGAGGTGAGCAGTCCAGGGCAGTGGAACACAGGATCCTAAATATACGTATGGGGCTGGTAGTACCCAGATCAAGGACTTTCAGGGACCCAGATTCCTTCTGTCTTGTGGCTCTGGCACCCCCTGGGTGTTGTCCTCATCTACAGAGTCAATGCTAGCTTATCACTAGTGTTCACATTTGGAGAGGGGGAGTAAATAATAAAGTGACGTGATCACACTGACATTCTAAGAGCTTACTCTGGCAGCTCGGTGGAAAATGAAGGGATGGTGGTGTTGGAAGAGGTCATCAAGAGGATGTGACAGCCGGTTGACCCTTGAACTGGACTTAGGCAATCAGAGGCTCCTCACCCCCTCCTCTGTCCTTGGAATGTATGTTCCACCCACTGTTCCCACACTAGGGACCAGTTTCAAGGACATAGCCTTGAGAGAGTAAGGTGGTGTTGAGACCATTTGGACTGAATACATGCCTGAACCCAGTTAAGGCCTCTATTTACAGATCTTCCTCAACTTCCAATGGGGTTATGTCCTGATAAACCCATCAGAAGTTGAAAATATCATAAGTTGAAAATGCGTTTAATACACCTAACTTACCAAATATAGCTTAGCCTAGCTTACCTTAAACATGCTCAGAACACTTACATTAGCCTACAGTTGGGCAAAATCATCTAACACAAAGCCTATTTTATAATGAAGTGTTGAATATTTCATGTAATTTATTGAATACTGTACTGAAAGTGACAAACAGAATGGTTGTCTGGGTACAAACTAGTTACAAGTGTATTGGTTATTTAGCCTCCTGATTGTGTGGCTGATGGAGCCCTGGCTCGCTGCTGCTGCTGCCCAGCATCACGAGAGAGTATCATTCTTCATATCGCTAGCCCAGGAAAAGATCAAAATTCGAAATGTGAAGTCCGGTTTCTACTGAATGCATATTGCTTTCGCACCATCGTTAAGTTGAAAAATCGTAAGTCGATTTGCAGCCGCCCGAGACAAACCTTGGATGGAAGTTCCATTGCTTATTAAATCTGCTACCTACCAATCTGGGGTGAGTGGTCTGCCTCTTTCTTTGGTCTCTCCTTGCCCTCCGTGTTCGGGGGCCAGTTTGTGAACCAACAGGTGGTCAGAGTGAAGGCAAGGAGGCAAGGAGTATGTAGATCATGAGAGGTGACAGAGAGGCTGGTGAGATGGTGAAAGTAGACAGACCTGGCTATATATTTTGCAAGAAGAACTGACAGGTCTTGGTGCAGTGGATGTGGAAGGTAATGTCAGGGCAGGGGTCCAGGATGACTCCCAGGGTTGTGACAAGCACCTGGGTGGGTAGTGGTGCCGTTCTTGAGACGAGAAAATTGGTGTGCAACTGCGGGAGAAAAACGAAGAGTTCCATTTAGGCCATACTGAGTTTTATGTCTTTGAGGCATTTCGCGGAGGTGTGGCAGATACTGCTAGTCGGTGAGTGGTTACCGTGTGGATTATCTGGATTTCATAACAACCTGTTATAATACCCATGAGGAAACTGAGGTACAGAGAGGTTAATCAACTGGACTAAGGATACACAGCTAGTAAGTGTTGGAACTAGGCCTTAAGCCCCACGCTCTGCCTCCAGAGCCTGCCCTCTTAACCACTGGGCTGCACAGCTTCCCATGTGGGGCTTGTGGAACTAAAACACGAGACTTTGCAACAAAGTCCTAAACTGGCCATAAAATGATGAAAAGTGAGATGCCATGGCTGTCAGGGATGTGGAGCCAGAGGTCATCATTGATCAGGGAGAACAGGAGAGGCTTCATGAAAGAAACCTTGAATGTTCTTTCAGATTGGAATGGCTGAAAATAAGTGCCCAGCGTGAGGTTGCAACACTTCCTGTTAGCAAAGAAGGGTGAGTTGGGTGTCTTATTGCCATGGTGTGTACGGCCTCCTAATTTGATAAAGTTCTTCTTTATGTTGTATTGTGTCCTAGTCTTTGACCTAATAGTCCAGATGAAGTTCAATCAAGTATCCAAGTTCTTGTCCCACGTTTTCTGGTCTTTCTCATGCATGCACACCTGCCAGAATTTGGTTACTTGGAAAGTGCAACTTGTTTCTTACCTCTGTTGATGGCCTAGTGGCTCTATGCCGTGTGCATTATAACCACCAGTGGAATTTTAGAAACAGCAGCCGCCAGGACCCACCTCAGTAAGAGCTTTGAAAGTGATTCTCATGCAGAGGCCGAGTCAGGCGCCTCCCGTGTAATCCTGTGTGTGTCTGATCGCTGTAGGGTAAGCTAACATGGTAACGTGTAGCAGTGAAGTATCAGTCGTGTTTCTCATTTGCATTGGGCAGACATTTTTTTGAGCGCCTTTTGTACACCAAGCACAGTTCTAGGCTCTGGAATAATAAAAGTGAAGTGAAGTCCTTTGTTGGGTTGACTCTATGACTCGGAGGCATCCAGTGCCCGGCTCTTTTCAGTCCCCCTGCCCACCACACACTCACCACACCACGTGTTTCAGAATCAAAGTGTCTGCCCAGAACCCTGAAGGTTCATGTCCACTCAGCCTTTCATCTCTGGGAAAACTCTCCTTCCAGAAGAGCTCCGTGAAGGCCCATTCTCTGGGTGCAGCAACACCTGGGACACCTGGCTCAACACCGAGTTGATGTCTTTTCTAGTTTCATCTGAGTTGATGCCAGATCCCTTTTCTCAGCTTTTGATTCCTAGGGATAAGCAGCCATTTCTTCCGTTGTAATTTCTTTCCATTCTTTGTCACTGTCCTTGAGAAATAAAATAATAAGGATGCCTTAATTCATTGCCTGTGCAGGCTTTTTTGCTTATCATTTTTGTTTCTTTTTATTTTTTATGCCGTTATTGGGGTATAACAAACTGCACATATATAAAATGTATAGTTTGGCTTTTTGGCTATTATAAATAATGCTTTTATGAACATTGATGTACAGGTTTTGTATGGACATATGTTTTCATTTCTCTTGGGTGTATACCTAGTTGTGGAATTTCTGGGGGATATGGTAACTATTTTTAACCATTTGAGGAACTGCTAGATTATTTTCAAAGTGGCTGCACTATGTACACTCCCACCACATGTATGAGGATTCCAGTTTCTCCATTCCTCACCAGCACTTGTTACGTGTATTTTAATTACAGCCATCCTAAGTGGCTGTGAAGTGTTCTCTCTTTGTGGTTTTGATTTGCGTTTTTCTGATAACTAATGATGTTGAGCATCTTTTCATGTGCTTTGTGGTCATTTGTATATCTTTGAAGAAATGTCTATTGGATCCTTTGCCCATTTTTTAATTGGGTTATTTTTCTTTCTTTTGTTGAGTTGTAATAATTCTTTGTATATTCTAAATACAAGTCTCTTATCAGATATTTGATTTGCAAATTTTTTCTCCCATTCAGTACCCTCGTTTTCTTCTAAAAGTCATAGTTTTAGGTCTGACGTTTATTTTTTTCCAGTTTATTAAAAAATAGTTGACATCCATCACTGTATGAGTTTAAGGCATACAGCATGATGGTTTGATTTACATATATTGTCAAATGATTACCACAGTAGGTGCAGCTAACATTTATCTTCTCGTATAGATTTGTTTTTTTTTCTTGAGTTGTGTGAGTCTTTATATATTTTGGAGATTAACCCCTTGTCGGATATATGATTTGCAAATAATTTTCTCCCAGTTGGTGGGTTGTCTTTCCATTTTGTTCCTAGTTTCCTTTGCCTTGTAGAAGCTCTTTAGTCGATGAAGTCCCATTCGTTTCTTCTTTCTTTTTTTTCTCTTGCCCGAGTAGACATGGTATTCGAAAAGATCCTTCTAAGACCGATATCAAAGAGTGTACTTCCTATATTTTCTTCTAGGAGTTTTATGGTTTCAGGTCTTACCTTTGTCTTTGATCCATTTTGAGTTAATTTTCTTGTATGGTGAAATATAATGGTCTACTTTCATTCTTTTGCATGTGGCTGTCCAGTTTTTCCAACACCATTTATTGAAGAGACTTTCCTTTCTCCATTGTATGTTCTTAGCTTCTTTGTCAAAGATTATCTGTCCATAGATGTATGGTTTTATTTCTGGGCGTTCAGTTCTGTTCCATTGATCTGTGTGTCTGTTTTTGTACCAGTACCCTGCTGTTTTGATTACTATTGCTTTGTAGTATATTTTGAAGTCAGGGATTGTGATGCATCCAGCTTTGTTCTTTTTTCTCAGGATTGCTTTAGCTATTCGGGGTCTTTTGTTGCTCCATATGAATTTTAGGATTCTTTGTTTTATTTCCATGAGGAATGTCATTGGGATTCTAATTGGGATTGCACTGAATCTGTAGATTGCTTTAGGTAGTCTGGACATTTTAATTATATTTATTCTTCCAATCCATGTGCATGGAATATCTTTCCATTTCTTTATGTCATCATTGATTTCTTTCAATAATGTCTTGTAGTTTTCATTATATAGATCTTTCACCTTCTTAGTTAAATTTATTCCTAGATATTTTATTCTTTTTGTTGCAATTGTAAATCGGATTGTATTCTTGAGTTCTTTTTCTGTTAGTTTGTTGTTAGAGTATAGAAATTGCACTGATTTTTGTAAGTTGATTTTGTACCCTGCAACTTTGCTGTAGTTTTTTATTATTTCTAATAGTTTTCCGATGGATTCTTTAGGGATTTCTATGTATAAATTCATGTCATCTGCAAACAGTGAGAGTTGCACTTCTCTTGCCAATTTGGATTCCTTTTATTTCTTTTTCTTGCCTAATTGCTCTGGCCAAAACCGCCAGTACTATGTTGAATAAGAGTGGTGAGAGTGGGCACCCTTGTCTTGTTCCTGTTCTCAGAGGGATGGCTTTCAGTTTTTCCCCATTGAGTATGATGTTGGCTGTGGGTTTGGCATATATGGTCTTTATTATGTTGAGGTACTTTCCTTCTATACCCATTTTATTG